GTTGGTGCTTATTGGTGGGCTACATTTGGGGAAGGGGGCTTGCTTGGTGGAGGTGCACATTAAGGGGGGTGGGTGGATAGATCATCACTAGCTCTGGATTCGGCTCCATCCGGCATCCTACCCCGCTCACTGACTTCATTGGTTGCCAGGAGCTGGACGGGATGCCAGCCAGAGTGTCCCGCTCAGCTGTTCCCAACCAGTGACATCAGTGAGCTAGGCATGATGCCATCCAGAGCGTCCCAGGTTGCTAAGAGCTGGGCGGGGAAATGTGTGCCAGGAGGGGAGATGTATGGCCCTTACACATCTCTCCTCATGGCTCTTAGCAACCTGGGATGCTTTGGCCAAAAAGGGGGCAGCGGGCACTACATGCCGCCCTGCCTGCCACCGCCCCACATGACCCAAAGAGATGCTCCCTGAGGCAAGAGCCTCAGGCTGCCTCATTATGGGGACAGCCCTGCTGTTAATTCAACCCGGCACTTACAGGTGTGAATATGGTCTGCGCCCCCCTGCACAAAATAATATGCTCCCCCTGTTCCCCTGCACCCACACATAAAATAATATGCTCCCCCTGTTCTCCCCCCCCCCAACATGAAATAATATGTCCCCCCTTTTCCCCTGAAAAAAAAATAATGTAACTGCTGACAGTGTCCTTACCAGGGATATTTCCCCTCACTGCATATCAGTTAAGAACATAACGGGGAATTTCTCCAACTGTGAGGCAAACAAAAACACGTTTTTAGTAGTAGGGAAGGGTAATAACTTTTGGCAATGTTTACATTGGTGTCTATCCTTTGCTTTCCTGCTGAAGACGGCACCCCTATTTCTTCAATGGGTGCCACAGGGACAGGAAGTAAGGGAAAATCTCCCTAATGGGATCACTAATAGAAATAAAAACTGGCCAGAAATTTGAACCATTCTCCCATCCAGAACTGAATAAATGGCTGTATTCAGGCCTTTAATGAAATTGTTCTTTTTTCCATGCATTGACAAAAACATAATAATCATTTACAAGTACAAAATATGTAGGTTTCTTCCAATGCATGCAGTGAATTGAGCAAGCCAAATGTAATCCATCTGTGTCCTGACTTGGAGATGCCTTTTGTTGAACATTACATTCTGAAGGCAATTTATCAAAACTAGAGCAGTTGTGTATGGCAACCAATCAGCTTCTCTTATTAATTTTCAAATCTTTACTGAACAAACTGAAGAGAGATGCTGATTGGTTGCCATGCAGTCTTGTAAAGCCATTGTCAGTCACAATTTTATAAAGACTGGGATGTGACTCCTTTCAAGTGCTTAGCACTGTCCAGGCATCCCCTTCACTACATCAATTACTTGCTATGTCATTCATTTCTGCAAAACCTTTTAAATGATGTCTCTTTTTCTCTCCAACAATCAATTTAAAACTATAGAAAGAACATTGTGCCAGTAAAAGTACAAATGGAGATGTCACTCACCTGCCTATGTCTGAGCAGATCTCCGAGTCAGCAGCCACAGCTCCATGGAAGAAGGCGCCGTGATCACAGCTAAGCTTCTCCCGACTCATTACCAATGCCAAGGGAATAATGATTCCAGCAAGAACGAAGAGCATGAGAATCATCAAAGACACCCAGCCAGGAGATACTGTCATTGTGCCAAGACTCAGAGTTCTTGTCTCTCAATTGCTTCTCAATGCTCTTATGTTGTTATAACTTCTTCTGATCCTTAGCCCACTACTGATATGGCTTGACTTGGATCTTTACCTAATCAGCTGTCTCCTTTTTTCCTATTTGCTTATATTTCAACGCCTTTAATGGTTATCTGCCGCTACCTTTCCTTCAATGCTTCCTTAAATTGTTCACCGTGACCTTGCTGTTTTCCTTCCTAACTAGCAGCTCAGGGCTTTTCATACTTTCACTAACAGTACACTTGTGCATTCATTTGTGGATGTTCTGTGTTCCTCCTCCCTCCCCTGTTCATCCCCGCCTATTGCTTGACTCTACATTACAATAAATCATCAATCATCCCAGCAGCAGACATGAATGAAACTTATACACAAGATCTTATGAGTACAGCTGATCCTGCCATTCTCTTTCTCTCTCATTGCTCTCTCACTTTGTCTCATCTTTCTCATCTCTCTATCTCTCTCTCTCCCTCTCTCTACTCCCTCCCTCCCCCTCTCTCTCTCCCTCTCTCTCTCCCATCTCTCTTTCTCATCTCTCTTTAAATCTCTTTCTCTCTTATCACTCTCTCTCTCTCTCATCCCTCTCTCTTCCTCTCTTTCTTATCTCTCTCACTCTCTTTCTCATCTCTTTCTCTCACTATCTCTTTTTCTCTCTCTCTCACTCTCATCTCCCTCACTCTCCTTTCTCTCATCTCTCTTTCTCTCCCTCTTTCTCTCTGTCTCTCTCACATTTTTCTTCTTTTTTTCCAAAATATGTTTTAACACTTGGGAATAACAACAATCCGTATAGCATGTCAATTTCTGAACATACATTTTGTACAGAAAAGAACATAATAAATGTAACAAAACTTAAAGGAGAACTATGAGGTGAGTGCCTTTCACTCACCTCATAGTTCTAGCCGACCTGTGACAATGAGACTGTCACAGGTCGGCTTAGTAGATCGGGAGGTAAGCGAACACAGACCGGCGTTCCCTCACCTCTCGATCCTGTCACAGCTCTCTGCCGTGACAGGGGAGGGGCTGCATTCCCCCCTTCTCGCTCCGATCCCCCAGCGCTGACTGGCGGAACGGGAGAGGGGGCGGGTACAGCTGGCTCTGACTCTAGATAGGCAGAGCCAGCTGTCAGTCATGCAGCTGGGCGGATCCAGACATAATTGTCGGGATCCGCTGCAGCTGCGGCGTCTCAGCTGGTAGAACTGGTAGAACTATAAGAAGACAAAACAGGGAAAGTCCCATCTGTATGGCATTAGGGAGCAAGTTGTGTGTATGTAACCGAAGAAGGTGCCCTAGTTACAAGCTCCAAGAAAAACAAAACACAGAAGCATTGGGGTGGGGGTGGGGGGGGTGGGGGTGTTGTCAATGAAGCGAAGCGGTAGGAGGTCAGCAGAAAAAGGTTAGAATCAGGGGTGTCCCTAGCATAATTGCCACCTGAGGCAGCTGGTGGTCACACACATATGTACTGGTGGTGCACCACCCAGCTCTGGCATCCTGCCCAGCTCACTGATGTCACTGGTTGCCAGGAGCTGGGTGGGATGCCAGCCAGAGCATGTCGCTCAGCTCCTGCCAACCAGTGATGTCAGTGGTTGCAAAGAGCTGGGCGGAATGCCGGCCAGAGTGTCCCGCTCCGTTCCTGGCATCCAGTGACATCAGTGGTTGCCAAGAGCAGAACTTCCCACTGTATGTATAAATAATGATTTGTATATAGAATGATCTAAGAAAATGTATGCTTCTTACCATACCAGTTTTTTTTAACCAAATGCTCGCTTTATATTTAGTGTTAGTTTTTAAACAGTACCCTATTAATGTTATGGCCTTTGAGTTCTGTATTTTTGATGTAATGCGTATTTTTGATGTAATTTGTGTAACCATATGCCCAGGTGTGTACCTTTTGATTATATGATATATCAACATTATTACTTTTATGCATTAATTCCATCCGCGCTGTTTGAGGTGCATTCTGGGTGGGCGCAGGAGGAGGTTGCGACCCTTTTCACGCTTCACCCTAGGGTAATGGCGGAATGATTGGTGCTGCTCCGGTCCCTGCCTTTCTATCTCTTTCTTTCATTGCCCCATCTTTTCTATCTGTCCCTTTGCTGTGGACGGGACTGGATGGGGTAGGTGTGGAGTGATGACATGGTGGGGGAGGAGTTGTTAGGAGATGCAATGTGAATCTGGATCCAGGCAGGTTTGATGCTTGGGTCTGTTGAGCAGAAGCGCCCATTCTTTTTGCGCAAGCACATTACTCCTCCATCATCTCATTTCCCATGCAAATGTTTGGGGTAGATCTGCCAGCGCCGTTAGGTATATATATGCAATTTCATAGCACCACTATTGTCCATGTTTGCTGATAATGAGAGTAACTATATTTGATTGAGGGAATCCACCCTGGATGCTTTAGGTCCACACGAATTATATAGGTACATTTTGATGATGGATGGATGGATAAGGATAATGAGTTTATCATTTTTGGCTATATGGCGGAGGGGTGGCCAAGTCTGAATGTATATACACCCTTTGACTGCATGGTTATTTACCCACTATAGGGGTGTCATATTGGAGATCCCACTGCACTCCTGACCAAGAATGCCACAACTTCCAATGCTGAAATTACAGCAGATGGCGATGCTGGATCAGATGAATAAAACAGTAAGTCACCAGCATTCCAAAAGTTTCTCCAAGCAAAGTTCTTTTTATTCCATATGTAAAGTTACATCACCAAGTGTAGCAACGTTTCAGAAAGCATCCAGTTCCTTCATCAGGCAAAACAAAGTGATATATGTACAGTGTAGTGATCACAATATATACATAAGTGCAGGCAAAAACCAATGTGACATACAAACCTTATTGAAAATGCAGAAAAACAGTCGACCTCCCCTCTGGACCGTCAGTCACACCAAAAGCCCCACATGTGTATAACAAGGGCATGGGCAATAATCGAGTATCGCTGGTGCCGCCCAGCTGTCCATAGAGCTTTGGGGAACTAGTGGCCATCAGGGGAACTGTGGGGTCAGGGCTTTTACCAGGCTTAAATTGCTACAGTGCACTGCTTAATTTTTCTCCAGTGATAGGGTGCTCAAGCTAAAAGATTGTAAGAAAGTTTGAATATTTAATTGGAGTGCCTCTAAGATTGCCTGGGACAGAGAGGTTGAATGCAAACTGTAAAGCTGCTCATAATACAAATGAAATTGGTTAGCAATTTCTTCTGTCTAGGAATTAAGAGAACCCTGACGATCAAAAATATGGTTGACCATATATGATACATGCTTCGCCTTAAGCTCACTATCAAGGTACTTTCCGCTCTTGTTACCATGTTCATACTAAAATGTGCTAATACGGGAATCCACCAGCTCTTTTAATTGGTGTCGAAGAGCTACAAAGTTTTGCTCTGCTAAAGATTTTTTATGTGTTTTTTTTCCTAAAATTGTTATCTGTTTGAAGAGATCATGTGGTTTAGACGGATGGTCTTACTTTAAATAGGTACTCAATTTGAGAAAGTCACTGCGTACTATGCATTTATGCACTTCCCAAACTGTAAGAACAGGTAAGTCCAGAGTCTGGTTGGATTGGAAGTATTTCTCCAAGCGGGTCTAGATTGAGGCAACGACAGCTGGATCACTTAATAGAGATGTGTTCAGATGCCATGTGATTGGGACGTGGTCAGTTTGATAGAGGCTTAGTGTAGGCATGAGAGGTCCTTCTGGGACAGAAAGTAATAGTCTAATGTATAGTCCTTGACAGAGAGATACAATGTTCTCCAGGTGTCATACAGAGAGAGGAGGACAAACTATGTTTAATAATGCAAACAGCCTGAAATGTCAAAGAAGATGCCCCTGTGGAGGAGTCCAACGTAAGATTCAAGGGAACCTAAGGTCACCTCCAAGAACCAAGATACCTGTCAAGAATTCCTGGAGTAGTTTAGACACTTTTGCCATAATGAATGTTGCCACTTATTAGGAAGATGCACATTGGCAAGTGTTACTGGTGTCTGGTGTAATTTTCCTTTCAAAAAGAGGTATGTACCCTCAGGGTCTTTAAGTTAATCTTCTACATGAAACAGAATTTGACGCAAACAAAGGATTGAGAGGACTATTGGCGTGAAACGTTGTCGGGTAGCTATAGTTGGTCAATTTCTGGGTAGCATCCTGTTTGAAATCGGTTTCTTGAACAAATACTATGTGTGCCCTAAAGGTTTATGCTTTGTGTAGAAGTCAAATTCACTGGTACGTTCATCCCTTGGGTATTAATAGATTGAAACTTCAACAATTAGACAGAGCTGGAGGACGAGCGCCCACCTATACAAGGCATGTTTGATCATGGAATGAGGTACACGAAAGGGGAAAAAAAAACATAATAGAAGGCAGAGAAAGCAAGGAGGAGAAGAATAAGGGAAAATAAAGAAGAAAAAGAAAGAGACAAAGAGAAACCAGAAGAAAGAAGTGGGAATCAGTAGATCAGAGATTCGGGAAGCTGAAAAGGGCAGAGAAAAATAGTGGATTGGAGTGAAAAAAAAGGGATGTGGGAGATCTGGGGTGGTTCCTATAACAAAAAAGGGAACTATTAGCTCGAGGACAAACTGGACCAGTTCAGTCAGGTGTATAATACTTGTATAACACCTTGCTGTGTGGAGGAGCTTGGAAATAAGGGATGAACAATTGAAGCATTAGGACAGTGGGGAGAAACATGTTATCACCAAAAAATGGACATGAGAAAGTAATATGGATCAACACATTGTATGGCTAGGAAGGAACATCACACCCTCTTTTAGGAGAAGAATGGATGTGCCAGACTTCAAATGCATAAGCTACAGCAAAATGGTGAGCAAGTAACACAATGGACATGGAATTAGTAAGACATGGCACATTAAAACAAAGGGTTATCTTTATCTGCAATAAACAATTTCAGTAAAAAGGGATCTATACAAGAAATACTTTTTAAAAAGGTTAACTGCAGCACCCATAACACTCATGGCAATGTGAGCCAAAAAAAGAAATAAAATGGGTAGGGGTTACACGTTACCCGAATGTGTCACA